AATAACACCTGGAAATTTATCAGAAAAAGACAAACAGGATGAAATAAATGAAATGAAATATACAGAATAAAACTGGAGGGAGCCTTTGTAAAGGTAAAGGAGAAAATGGTTGGAAAAAGGCGAGCAATACACAATTAGAAAGCTCTCAGAGTAAGTCCAATTCTATTCAAAAACTCACTAACAGTGGTGCTATTGCTGATGATCCCCATAAGATAGATAATTATTGTTCCACATTTTATAGAAATGTGTATGAATCACAGCATAGTGAGGAAGCGGTTAACAAACCTTTTAGGGTACCTCACCAAAACAAAGTCAATTAAGAATGACCAAAAAGATTTTTGAGATAGCCCGATAACTTTAGATGAAGTCATGTTTGGCATTCATCACCTAAAACTGAATAAATCTCTGGGGGTTGACGGCTTAACCTCTGAATTTTTATTCCATAAACATTAATAAATAAAACAATTAACATTACTCCCATATTATAAAAATAAGAAAGCAAACTTTATGTTTATTAACTAATAATAACAATTTAACTAATTTGTGATTTACATCTGTCCCGTGGCATTTTCTGCTCATGTACTGTCTATGTTTATCTGTTTGTAAACAAAGTAAAAAACAAAAACAAACAATGGCTATCAGAACCAGAACAGATGCCACAGTAAATTCACACTTGTTTGAGGCCTGTGCTATTTGCATATTTTCTACACATTTAGCTTTACATTTATAATTAGCATTTATAGTATATTTTAAGGTCCAGATTTAGGATGATCAATTGGCAGAAATTGAATATAATATTCATAAATATCTCTATTTGTGAAGGATGCCATGTTAGGCTAAACATATTCTTAACAACTACACATAACATGTTGTTTTACATGAATTTCTGAATGTGATCAAAGTTAGCTCAATATAATTAGCCATATACATATATTTTATTAATTCATTCATCTTTGGGATATCATTATTTTGTATTCTCTTCTTCCTACTACTACAGTCTCTGTTGTAAGTGGGAGAAGACCGTGGGAAAGAGAGGAGGACCATTTTAATAATAATGATTTCTCACTAAAATAGGTACTGACTAGTGGATTAAATATATACCAAATTAAACAGAATCATTAGATTAGATTATACTTTATTCATCCCACAACAGGGAAATTCACTTTTTTATTTTTATTTTTTAAGTTCAGAGCTGCTGTAACTAGCTGCCACTCACGCAGCGGCATTTTGTTCCAGCCGAGGCACCATAACGCTGTATTTGAGTTGTTCTGGCCATTGCCATAGTAACTACCTGTATGAAGTTGTTTGATCACTAAGTAGTAATACAACTTATCAATACATGTGCAAAGTGCTCCCACCATGGTTTGTATACTTCGACACATACACCTCTATATATACACCTCTTTTATACGTCATAGGTGCTGAAAACATTGAAAAGACAATACACTTGTGTATCCTCCAGCGAGCCTCTTCTCTTCTCACTCCTCCAAATGCACTGAGACTGATGAAATTTGAGTAATGAGAAAAGCCCCAGAGAGGCAAACAAGATCATGTACAGGAGACATAGGGGAGTGGGAAACACAAGAAAACACAAGAAAAAGGCAAGGGTACAGCCATGGCCATGACACCTGTCTTATTTTCCCTTTTCATCCTCCATCCTTCAAATTTAGATATTTTAAATGATTAAAACTGATTAAGGAGATCAGTGCCTGCAATCTTAGAAGCAGAAGAGCCAAAGTGTTCCTAACTACTTTGGAGGAACCTTTTCAGTCCCAAAAAGTTTGTTGAGGAATTCCTAAAAGGGAGCCCCAATTCAGTGTGCTAAATTGTATTAATTTTGTACTTATTTTTTATTTTTCCATACCTACCTAATAACTAGGAATATATATATTTTTTAACATTATTTCTTTTTTTTCTTTCAAACCTCACAGTCGCCTTGCCTAAATGCTCTTCCTGAGGGTATGGGATTCCTTGATTCATCAATAATCAAACGCTTCCCTGGATGAGGATGTTCTATGAGAAACTCCCTACCTTTCGCTTACAGTAACACTCTCTTTGTTCCATCAACAACCAGAGTTCATGGACTGATTTAAAGTCACGGATCATGTGCCAATACAGCTGCTGATATGTGACACACCTGTTTGCCTGACCTAGAGGACAGGAGGATCCGGACTAATAGATACAGCTCCTGGGAAAAAGACTTTCACTGTCTCTTCCCCCGTGACACAACGTGTTTATCACCAAACTTCCCAGGCTCTGCACAACAAAATGCCCTTGGCTCTCACCATGTGTTGCCATAATCAATAATGCTTTCTTTGATTAAGATAAACACGTTTACATTAAGCTGTATGTAAATAACACAATTTCCTTTAACAATTGTCATGTTATTCTCATTCTGGAAATTATAGCCAGTTGAATAGAAGCCACTGGAGTCAGGTTTGCATAAAAGACACAGACTGCCCTAGATCTGAAGTGAATAAATACTGAGTGTGTGTGTTCCCACCATCAGTCTCACTGGTAACATACCACAGTGTCTTTTAAAACCATGCTTTGCTTCAGCACCGCACTCTGTGAGTATACTTATATTAATACAAAGATAGGTGGTTATTAATGAGGAAATGTTAGATGTTATTTTGTCAATTTTTATTTGTCTTGCTAAACAAGCCAATGCATGTCTTTATATCTCTCCATGGTTTTAGGGCACAGTATAATTAATTTAAAACTTGTTCGGTCTTCTGTTTTTGAGTTTGGATAACACTCTAACAGTGCTGTTTCTTTTTTAGTGCTAGCAGCTACATGTCTGCTTGCAAGTGCAGGTAAATATCTCTGTGTGTGTGTGTGTGTGTGTGTATGGTAAGAGGATGCTTGAATACATTTTTAAATAATGTGCTTAAACTTATACCTCCATATCTGTTTTTAGGTGTCCCCACAGAGACAGTTACCACCTGTGAAGGCAAACATGTTCATCGACTGAGCTGTGGTATGACTATTTCCTAAAACTTTCTGTCCACAGCAGTGCTTACTTTTATTTGGGCGACACTAAAGAGTTGATTGGTTGTAAAGGTTTTTGTCATCTGACTCAACCAGGAAAAGAAAAAACAAAAACTTGTTTTTTATGGAATACAAATGTAGTCAGTATTTTTACAGAATCAGTTGATCAGATATCTTTTTTTAGTAGTAGCCATAGGTAGTGATTGACAAAAACAGTAATACTTGATAAAGGATTACTTTGATGAAATCCATTAGAGTTGCTTCTGTAGTTAAATAAATGATGATTGTAAATAAAGATGATCTTTTCGTCCCTCAAAAATTTATTTCTTCTTCAACTCTGTCTTTTTCTCCCTGATTTGCCCCTCTTTATGTAACAGTGGAGTGATTAGTGTTGAAACAGCACTGTACGGACGTGCAGACAGTGTGACCTGCAGTGAAGGACAACCTTCATACAAAACTTCTACAACAGACTGCTCTCTGACAGACACTTTGGCTCTGCTCAAGAGAAGGTAGACCCTTTGTAAATTGGGCTTTTTTCTCAGGTTGCTGTGTGACCACATATGTTCAGTTTAGTGCAATGCCATAGAGACGTAGGCTCCCAGGATGCTTTCCAGTGGAAATGGGACATTTGATGCGAGGTGTCAGGGAGGCTCTTTGGGGCTGAATGTATTAGGTAGCAAGAGGATTAATCTTACCAGTTTTGAGAAATACATGTTTTTTCACTTTAATAAAAATGATGAGATTCTCTTTGAGGATGTCGCACATCTCCACTTTTGTTTGGATGTAGCGTTCTCAAGAGTCACAGGGAACAGATGAGAGGCGAACATTAGTCAAATATAAAGCAAGAAAAATTTAACCAGGCTACAAAACAAGTAGTACAAATGTATTATTATTCAGCTTTGATATGAAAATGATGACTAACTCATCACAGATTGAGAAAAGGTCTAGTGTCTTACATTAACCGAGGCCAGTGTATGTCAGCTTTGTTGTGATTCTGTTTGAATCACACTCTTTATCTTCTCTCTGTAGGTGTGATGGAAAAAGGGTGTGTGAACTAAATGCAAATGGTTTCGGAGGATCTGATCCCTGCAGGGGCACCTACAAATATCTGCAGACCCAGTACAGCTGCTTTCCAGCAAGTCAGTCACATGTTTGTTTTTTTACAGATATTTGTCTTATGGTTTTTTGCCTGTATGTCCAATTGTTTTAATGGTTTCACATTGATTGGGGATTCTGTGTGTGATTTTCCTCTCACAATCACCTCTAGGGCTGAAATGTGAAGTGTTAGAGGGTAGAAATGCATGTTTGATGTGATTAATGTTATTTTCACAGCTCACCAAGTGACATGTGAACACTCTCTGGCACACCTGCATTGTGGTAAAAACATTTTTTTTTGTATGTAAAAACAGCATTATCATATTTTCATGACACTTATGCATAAGCACTGCTTCCAACTCCTCGTCCTCTTTCTGCTAGATGAAGGGCTGGTTATAAATGTGTACGTTGCTGATTATGGACGCCACGACCAGACCACATGCTCTTACCAACTGTCTTCCTCTAAAATCCGAAACACTGACTGTTCACGTCCAACCAGCCACGTTTCTGAAAGGTACAGTCAGTCACTCCTTGTCAAGTTGTACCTCAGGCTAACTGCAGTACAGTAGTAACTGCAAATTTGTGATGCCATCCACTTTCGCTTGTGTTGAAAAAAACACAGATTTTATATGCTCCATGCCTGTATTCACTCTGACTCTCACTAGTTGCTCTGCCTTCACAGCTGTAATGGGAAAAACAGCTGTATTGTTGAAGCAAGCAACTCAGTGTTTGGAGACCCCTGTGTCGGCACTTACAAGTACCTGGACGTGGCTTACATATGTGAATGTAAGTAGCTTGAAGGCCCTGTTTCTCCCTACAGAAGCTAATCTGTGGTCCAAACGTACAAAGGAAAACATGAAGTGGAATACAGCATGGGGTGGTGAAACGCAGTGAAGCAGAGATATAGCCATGTAACTGCTTAAACAACTTTGCAGTGATAAAAATCCCCAAATTTAACATTGTTTTTATTTTTATTAAGTAGCTATGCTGATGAAGCATTTGTTATTCATCCTGCAGTGACACAACCAGTCACTTAAGTCACTTAAATATTAATCTAAAGTGAATCTTTCATGTTTTTGCAGATCCCAAGAGCACTCCAGAGGAGTCTGTGAAATGAAATCACAATGAGATTACAACATGCATGCAATAAATGAAATACAACAGCAGCATGTGTCTTTTCAGTTTGTGATCAAGTTTTTGTTATTTTGCTATCATGTTGATAATTATTTAACAAAAATCTGAAGAAATGTGCACCAACAAAGCTTCATGAGATCAGATTCTGGTTAATCTCCACTGCAGTGACTCTCAGTGTCTGGTGTTCCTGGAAAGTCCAGAGACAAAACGTAACAATAGGTGCTTGTTCCAGGAAGTCCACAGATAAAAACTACATTGCAACAGCCCTGCTTTTTTTTTAGGCACCCAGACAATGGTAGAACTGGTTATGTCTCAAAGAAGTTCCACCATCTGCTTTATAAAAAGAGCCACTGCTTAATTTCAAAGACTTATATTGCAAACCGAAGATATGGTGCTGTGAGGAGGGTACAGACAAACAATAAGAAGACCAAAAAGTCACACAACCACATTATCTAAAGAACTAATACTAGCTGCTCAGGACAAGATTCTGCAGGGTATGTCCATCTCAAAGACACTTCCTTTCTGGCAGGGAGCACTCCTTCGAGGAAGGAAATGTGAGAAACAGGACTGGTGATTTGAAACAGACATGAATGAGTCTATTTGTTGTCTCAAATATCTCTGAACAGGAGGATGACAGATCACCAAACGAGTGATGGCTTTGTAAATACCATCATTGTTCATCATCGTGGTCAACATGTAATAAGTCATTGTTCCCTCTCATCAGCGTCACACATTCTCGTTTTAATTGTGTGTTCCCCAGATGGGGTGAATTGTGCAAGTTCTTATGAGGTAAACACAGTTCTTGATGCAGCAGTATAAATACAGGTGTGTTTGTTCCTGACATCAGCTCCACTGTTGACCTCCGACTGGATCTTCTAAAAACCATGCTCCACTTCAGACTCAGCACCACACTGTGTGAGTACATAACTGACGGGAAGCTAGAACAATAATTATGTGGGTTCAGAAAAAATTGGGAATGAAGTAATATATAATAAGTTATATATACTTTATATATCATCCAAAAATAACCCCTATAGTTCTGGCAGTACTTCTTCTGAGACAGTTAGCAGTAGCAAATACGTCCTTGTCTGCCCTGCTGTTAAAGTCGACACAATGCATATATTGTTCTTAGAACAGGTTAGAATTGTCAGATACATAAAGGGGGACCTGGGAGTAACAGATATCTCACTACTATCTGCCATAAGAACAATTTGAACTATTTTCAATTAGATGAAGGGCTCATTTAAAATTATATTTTTTTCAGTTTGACTTATTAACCTTCCAACATTTCTATAATTGCTTCACAGTTCATACATCTGTTTACACAGCAAACCTCCTCTATCCTTATCACTAAAGAAATTGGTTGTGACATATCTGATGAGCTTCGGGCTGAGGGGATACAGACGATACAGACAAAGATTGTTCCTTTAATGCTATATAATGTCATACAACACATACATTTTTTCAAAGATCAGACTTAATATAATCTTCTTAGTTTAAGCTATTTAGGTTACAGGACTCTAATTCGTCTTTTGTAGTTTTACCCTGAAGTTAAAAAAAGATATATATATATGGATGAAAATATTTCCTTTACTCAGTATAATCAGAGAGAAAATTGTTTCAGACTTTTCTTCTTCTGATCTAGAGAGTCATGCCTGATTAATTTTTGTAAAACTTCACTGACTATCATAAAGAAAACTGACTGGGCTGCAACTTAGTAGTGTATGACTTATGATTATTTATGATTTTATGTACAATTAAATGATGAGTAACAAAATGAACCACACTTGATGTTTCTTTTCCAGTGCTGGCAGCAACGTGTTTGCTCATGAGAGAAGGTAAGTATCCGAATATGAGTATTTTCTGCATGTATGTGGCTTGAACACACTTCAACTTATACTTTTATATCTGTTATTTTAGTTGTTTCCACAGACAAAGTCATCACCTGTGACAGCAGCTCCAATGTTCAGCACTTGAGCTGCGGTATGTCTGAACTCTCTTAAGTCTTTGTGTCCATAATGAGTGGTCCATTTAAGTTTGAAGAACTTAACAAACTGACTCAACCAGTGTTGAGGCATTAGAATATTTTGGGGATTACACATTTTAAGGGGATGGCCAATGATGAAACAACATTCTGCAGGTTTTCATTTCAACCACTCACCTCAGCAGGCGATGTCATTGATTAGTTCACCCCCGCTTCCTCCTACAGGAGTGACGGTCAGCGGGTGGAGTCTTTGGCTGTAATGAAAACCTGCAGATTGTTGGCTCTCTGTGGTGTTTGATCAGCTTGTGTTTGAACATATTTGAACTTAAGCAACCAGAAAAGACACTGTGGCAGGTTGCACCACATGGCCTATCAGAAAAAAAGAATACAGTGTCTACCAAAAAGCACTTTTCTCATGGTCTAATTTTTTAATTCCCCCTTGGTGTGTATCAGATATGGGAGTGATCAGTGTGCAGGCAGCACTGTATGGTCGTGCAGACAATGAGACCTGCGATGAGGGCAGACCTCAACAGCAGCTTGCCAATACAGAGTGCTCTCTAGAGGGTACAGTGGACATCCTCAAGAAAAGGTGTATATATTACATGTAATATTAAGAGTCATAGAACAAAACACTACATAGTGCAGGGAAATGAACAATGACATTATACTCTACATTAAAACAAGTTGTAATTCGCACACTTGAGTCCAGGTTTTATAACTAAATAGTAAAGTCTCTGATATTAGTCCAAGTTACTATAGTATTTAATTGACACTATTTTAGTTTTAGTGTGCTTTTACTTTGTGCTAAAAAAACATGTTATTCGTGGATTCCCTACAGGTGTAATGGCAAGAAGCTGTGTGAGATAAACAGAAATGTTGTCCATACCTCTGATCCCTGCCCTGGCATCTACAAATACCTGGAAACCAAGTACACCTGTTTCCCAGCAAGTAAGTCACATATCTGCATGAAACTGCTAGTGAAACAAAGCTGCAAGTTTTTTTATAGTGTGATTATCTAATCCAATTTATTCATGTTGCTTTGACAGTTCGCCTGGTTACATGTGAGCAGTCTTTGGCACATTTGTTTTGTGGTAAGATTACTTTTTCTTTTGCTTTTATGGAGGATTAATGTGATAAACATGAGCATGATTACATTTTCATTGCACCTAAACAGTGAATATTTTACTAGTTGCCCTTTTGGACACCTGCCTTTCAACTACATTTTTGTACTCTCAGCGTTGCCAATGTTTTTCTCCTCTTACTGGCAGATGTAGGGCAGGTTATATTTGTCTATGGTGCAGACTACGGACGTCGAGACCAGACAACATGCTCTTACAAACGGCCTGCCTCTCAGACTGAGAATGTCTACTGCTCACACCCCACTAGCAAAGTTGCTGACAGGTACAGTTTGTTAAATATAAGGAATAAATCCAAACTTCAAGAGACCAATTTGCTATAATTTGCAGATAAATTAGTAAATTAGGAAGAAAGTAAACAGTTATAACACAGACTGGAAAGTGTTAATTCACCTTTTTTACAATCACATAATATTTCATATGCTCTGAGGCGCATTCAAGCTTGTATTCACTCATGTGCCTCCACAGCTGTAATGGGAAAAACAGCTGTACTATCAAAGCGAGCAACTCTGTGTTTGGGGACCCCTGTGGCGGCACTTACAAGTACCTGGAGGTGGCGTACACATGCATATGTAAGTAAGATTAAAAAGCCATCATGTTTATGCTACCAGTCGCTTAAATTATTTGTCTGAACTGAATATTTTCTGTTCTTTTGCAGATCCTGGGGTCCTTCCAAAGCAATCCCTGTCAGCACGCTGAGATTTCAGTCCTACCACAATAAAGATGCATTGAATTAAAATTTGTCAGTTTGACATTTTGTCCACTGGCTAGAGAAATGTAAAACATACTGAACCAAAAATAAAATGAATGAAAACAAGAGTAAATCTAAGTGTAATTCATAATTATTTGCTGCTGCTTAAAGGGAAAATGCCAATACTTTAAGTTGATAAATAGTCATACAAATCATCCAGTGCTACAGATAAGTAGACCAGTCCGAGTTTAAGTTAATGTCAGTTAAACAAGATTCATTTTACCCACAGGAAAGTTTGTAAATAATACAAAAATAAGGATCTTTTCACATACAGTATGCCATGTTGATCATGCTGTCAGTAAGTGGCAAAGAGATTTATTAAAGTATTACTACATGTGGTTCAAAAAGCTGTACATTAATCAGAAATGTTAACATTCTTCAACAGGCAACAATTATTACTAAAAGTCAAGCATCTGCTGGATTTTGTTTTAGTCACAAAAAAAATCCGACAGGATCAGATTTTCTGCGCTCCCTGAAGTAAAGGGATGTAATTTTGTTGCGTGTTGTCAAAAGCTTTAATGCCCCACAATGTGAATCTGTTAAAATGACTTCATGTACCACGTGAGTGTAAACATCAGAGGTTATCCGCGTCACCACTACCAAATGACGTTCAAGTTGCTGATGTCGTTGGAGAGGTCGGTTTTTGACGGGTAGACAACCTTCAGGTTCCCGTCCTGGTCCAATGTTCGGACCTGCTGGATGATCAGTTCGCTGGAGGTCTCACGGCTGGCGGCCGGCTCTTGTGGGCCGTCCCCTTCGCCATCTGACCCCGCCTCCTCCTGATGCTCTGCCGTGAACTTGTTCAACTCTGCCATTTTCTGTGACGAAACAGGAAATGCCCTTTAAATGCCTGTGTGTGATTTGTTACTGCTGATTGTGTACAACTGCAGCACAGAAACTACGACACTAAATCTACAGTATAAGAAAATAATCTACCAATTATCTCCTAGATGAAAACTCCTGACGTTTCAAAATAAACACTCAAAAGGTCAAACAAATCCAAAACAGGAAAACAGAGGGGGAGAAAGAGGGAGGCAGTGGACATAAAGGTTATATACTAATTGTATACAGTATGGACTGCATGCTAAACGTCATTAGCAGTTAGTATAGAAAAAAGAAGAAAGAAAAGAGAGAGAAAACTTACTACAATCAGAGCGTCCATAACATCTTTACATGTCTGCAGGCTGGTTCCACTCGTCACCTCCAAGAACAACTCTTTGGTCGTCTTTTTGATCTGTAAAGTACAATCAGCTCAGATTATATAATTCTGCCCATGACAAGACACAGAGACCAAAGTGTGGGCTACAATAAGACAATGAGGCACAAACAATAAGATGTATGTCAGTGTGTTATTGGGTTTTTTTTTTCTTCCAGCATCAATGCCCAGTGTATGACAGCATTTAATATGGAATCCTCTCGTATGGGAGGACACAGTTATGTTTACCAGGATGAAAATAGACACACACCTTGGTTTTCTCGCTGTTGGTAATAGGTGGGAATGAGATCACGTGTCCCTCTGCATCCACTAGGCAGGGATAGAGGGCCTTTCCCTGCAGAATTTGCAGGTACCTGTAAAATAATAGAATAGTTGAGAGAAAACATTATAGAAGTCTTTAAAGCAAGTGTAATGGATGCATAGCAGGTGATGTTAACTTGAAAAATGATTGTAGGTTTCATTTGGTGTGCGTTGTTTTGTCCGTGCATTAATTACAGTAGTGGTATTGATGATTTTAGAAGTCAATCATGTCAGTTATCATAATCAACTATTTAAATATGCCATTAATACACATCAATAATCTTTAAATCCTATTTTTTCTGCTTCTTCTTTTTGTCAGGCACTGATCACAAGTACCTGCAGATACTGTGGTCCAACAGACTTATACTGCCCTCATGTGTTCAAACCTAACAGCAACCAGGTTATGCAGATAGTCCAGCAGATAACTACTGGGGATCTTTCCAAAGCACCATGAGTTGTACTGACTTGTGGAGACCAGTGACGTTCTGCCTCTTCTTCTGCTTCCTCAGCTCGTCAGCCTCCAGCTGAAGGTGTCTTATCAGCTCGATGGCCGTCATCTCCTTCCGGCCCAGTGGCACAATCTGACAAACATTGTGTTCTTATGTGAAATTCAGACGTTTCAAACTGATTTCATTTTATTATCATTTGATTTGATTAATGCAAATGATAGATTTTTTAACGTCTGGCTGACTTAAGAAGTGGATTGAAATCTGAAAAAAAAGAGCCAACCGTCCTGCGTTAGCATACCTTCAGCTGGGTAGGTGGTTTAACATCATAAATCAGAGGAGCTTTGAGAAGCTGCACATCATGAGTTGCGATGGTTGCGGTGGTCCTTTTACCGCACAGGTCGTCGTGAAGCTTTGTCTAGAAAAACAAACAGGTGAGTGTTTTTCGGTGACAAAACTGCACACTTGCGCACCGATGTATGCCACCTCGTGAGGGGATTGACCTTACCTGAGCCACCAGGAACCGTTTGAGAGCATTCCCAGACTTTAGGTTCATGCCTCGGACCACGCAGCACACCAAGTACGGCCGAACATCTTTCACCTCTGCACTCACTGTGACTTCCAGTGCTGTAGGGGCATCCGAAACATGGAGAACTCTCACCACCATCTTGTTCAGCTCCTCCATCTCATCCTGTTCGTCTGCCACCTTCTCCTTCTTCTTCCTCTGCTGCTGCCTTTTCCCCTTGTCTGCATTGCGCCCCCCCTCCGCGTTACCTCCATCCTCTCCCTGTTTCCCTTTTCCTCTGAGGTAGTCGAGGATGGACTTGGTCTGGCAGCCGTTGACCATCTTCTCCAGACGTTTGTCGTTCAACTTGTTGCCTTTGAAGTTGATCTCTTTTAGCTTGGGGCAGTCGCTCAGATCGGAGGGAATCTCCCTCAGCTTGTTGTTGGAGAGATCCAGCACCTGGGAAGACAAAGCCAAGGGCATGAGTTGGCAAAGAGCATCAGCTATGCCCAGTTTTAAGTGCTATGCAAGAGGAAAACAACAACAGAAAAGAGTATATTGCATTTAAGCTGGTTGTGTGGAGGTTACCCGCCAAACTCCGTTTGAAAACATGACATTTTAGTGATGCAATGCCCCATCTGCAAATGTAAACCTCGCTTACTATAATTTAAAATATACACCAAAAATAGTGATAGTTAGTGGTTAAATTCGGAGCATATTTGATCCACCCAGAAGCATTTTTTAATGAAGAAAATCACCACCACAAGACGACATGATATGTATAAGAGAGCTGCTTGGGATATGGAATGTATTGTTATACGTACTGTAAGTTATACGGGTGAACCACAACTCAAACTCATTTTTAAATGCTGTCGTATTGGTTAGTGAGGTCCGGCCCACCTTGAGAGCAGCTAGCTTGTGAACATCTCCACTCAGCTGGTCGATGGAGTTGTCAGAGGCGACCAGGGAGCTGAGGAGATCCAGCTTCTCGGAGTAGAAATCAGCGGGGAAACCGGTGATGCGGTTCTTGGAGATGTTGATGGTGGAGAGCTTGGTGCACCGGCTCAGTCCCTCTGGCAGGACCTCCAGGCTGTTACAGCTCACGTTGAGAGTGTTGAGCTCCTTTAACTGAGTGATTCCCTCTGGCAAAACCCTGAGGTTGTTGACTGAAAGGTCCAGGACCTTCAGGGACTTGAGGTTGCCGACGACATTCGGGATGGAGGCGAGCTTGTTCCTGCACAGGATGAGGCTTTGGAGGTTTGTCAGATGCTGGATGTCCTCGTGGATCTCTGTCAGACTCGGGCACTGGCTGACCTCCAGATAATTCAGCAGTGTGAGGGAGTAGATATCAGAGGAGAGTCCTCCATTAGAGGAGATTCTCTCGTCCACAGCTGGACCCTGTAAAACCAGTTCACGTCTCTTCCCTGTCGCTGCTTTCTCTATTTCTGGCCATTTCTCCATGTCATCCATGCTGCTAGTACTCTTGTCAAAGTAGCTCAGACAATAAAATACACGATATCCGTTTAAATATTTCAAAATAAATTGAAATGTTCTGGTCATATAGATTTGTGCGTGGTAAATGTGCATGTTTGCGTCAATATACCGAATAGTTATAATCAAAACATGACTTAAATAACTCATGTATTAAGAAGGATTATTACTTCTTTTAAAACGTCAAGTATTAAAGAATTGTGAGCTCGGTGCATCTCTTATTAACTTGTGGTATTTATTTATTTATTTATTTAGTCTAACATTTATATCACGAGTATTATATATGCTGCAATATTATAAGAGCTAACGAGTTTGATGTCACCGCTATATACCGTGCCTTTATTTTGGAGCCGAAGGATTGACTTCCTGAAGTCGATGTAGTCCCCGCTCCGCCCGATGACCGGAAGGAAGTTAAAAACACATTATAAAATGTATTTTGAATGTTTATCGATATGACCATCGTCTTAAGATTGAGGCAGAATACATAATACAGCCAAAGGCGTTAAATTTGGACTCAACTAATAACTGCTGAAGTGAAAAACGAGTTACACGTGTATAAAACTACATTGACCACAATCCATTGCGACTAGCGACACTCCTGGCACTGCGCATGTCCGCGCTGGTTGTTGTCAGCGGTGGTTATGGAGATGCGATGGGAGTACGAGCTGTCAACATTACGGTGATGTTTGTGGTAAGATTTCTTTGAAATACACGCAGGAAAACTTATATTTACTGTGAAATGTATAACAACAGAAGGTAGGACATAAAGAATGACAGTTGTCAGCACCTTTGTGGGATTTTAGCCGGTCAAAATACCTTTATAATACAGCCAGTGTAAGACTAGCCATGTTGGCTGATTGAGTAGTTCACAGTTAGCTAGCTAATGCCCCCCGCGCAGCATGTGCCAGTCAGCAAGAATGACTGTCCTACCCAAGGGGGGGTATTATTATTTTACCTAAAGAGAACCACACGCCAAACTTCATGCTGTAAACTGGCCTTTTCATTTTTTCTGTTTTATGTGATGAGATAAACCCCTCAACAAATCTTTAAGCCTCTTGCATCCGTACTTACAGCTACTGACGCACATTCACTAAGTTACATATAAATGATGAATAAAGTGCAGACTGACTGCTACATAACCAAAGGTTGTTTAATAGTTCTGTTCTGCTGAATTTATAAAATATGTTGTTCCTATTCTGTTCTTTAGTAATTACTGCCTAATTGCTGACAAGTTTGTTGAGCATCATTTGGTCACATGTGTAGTGACATTAAACAGTTTTGACTGTACTATTAAATATTCAATATTGCGTTGGGTTGTAAGTGGTTTAGCTGGACAGATGGACAAAGTGTTTTGGCAGTCCTCTCGAGTTTATTCAGGGTTGGGTACAGTTTTCAGCACTAGTGGTAATACCTGAGACACCTAAGCTATACTTCTTTTTTAATTACTTTACCTTGAGAGATATACACATTTATTTCTACGAAGGAATTAACTACTATTTAGGTAAGGACTATTTTTTCTTTTTTTTTTCAAAAGTCAAAGTTGTCAAATGTGGAATAGGCGCCCCCATACAAGAGCAATGCTTAAAGAAAAAGTCTAAAATTGGTTAAATTAAATATGGAACAATCTAAATACAAGTAATTCAACTGGACTGAAAATCTTACACTGAATGTACTTGGTGTACTTTATAGACACATTATGTCAGTATAAGATGCATATGTCCAGATCTCATCATCTTTACATTTATCAGAGTCACTAATTGAATTTGTTTCTGCTCTTTCAAATATTAAATGTGATAAATTGTGTTCTTTGGGATCAGTTTCCATCGGAGGGATGCCCAGAAAGATAGGATTCATTGTGGTCAACTCTTCAAGTCATGAGGACAACTTCAGTGCCAAGGAGCTCATGGTCCATGCACCCACAGTCAGTGGCTGGAGATCCAGCAGGTACATTAACACAAACGCATGTCACATTCATTCATGGCAACATTATGCTATGCAAAAGCAATTCATTCCTTTATGAATGGCAGTTTTCTTTAACTCATTGTTGTGTGAATCAAATATTCCTGCAGGCTGTGCTCCTACCCTCAGCACATCACCCTCCAGCTGGTGGAGAGAAGTAGGGTGAGGAAGCTGCAGCTGTTAGCCCACCAGTACCTGATCCCAGCCAAGGTGGAGTTCCATATTGGAGACACCCTTCCTGAAACCGGCAGCCCAGGGTTCCCTGGGCAGCTTCGCAGACTTGGGTGAGACTGCAGACTCGGCCAGGCTTGGTTTTGACATTTTCTTATACGCAACTGCACAAACATAAACGTAGGTTGTTTTTGTTGTTCAGGTGATCAAGTGACCAATACTGTCGGCAGTTCTGGTTCTGGTGAGGACAGGCACCTGCTAATGATGCTCCCTAGACACTCCGCTCTGTTCCTTTGATCTGGTTTTGATTTTGTGTCTAACTGACCGTAGCATGAAGGGAAGCTCTATGGTAGTCATATTGGATCTCCAAAGGGCATTCAGTAGTCTACGTTTTAGCATTTTACCAGATGTTGATGGGATGGTTTCTGTTCTTAAGGCCATAAGTTGCAGGGTCCCTGAGGGGAGTGTGCTCGGCCCAAAATCCGTGCACGTTAGCAATGATATGTCATTGCCCTTGCTCAAGGCACTGGCTAACAACTGGAACAGGTCCCCATGTGCTGCACAGGTGCTGCTCACTGCTACTAAACACCTAGTATGAATCACTCCATATAGATAAATAATGTGTACAGTATATCATGCATTTTAGTCTTCTGTATGTCAGCAACACTGTACTTTCACCACAGGTACGTGTCTTTGTCGGACAACGAGAAGACAGGCTTCAAAGCTCGGGAGCTGAAGTCGGTGCACGTAGACGCCATCGGAACGTACCTGAGAATAACCTTCCACAGGAACCATGTCAACCGTTACAATAACTACAATCAGGTACTCCGTTAGATGGGAGCGATGCACCTACACCACTATTTCACTGCCAAGAACTTTTGCCTGGTACAGAAGATTGATCCAAACTGTGAGCCGCTCGGTTTATGTGGACGAGTTAGGTTACATTGTTTAAAAGACATCAGATCATTAACAGCTGTTCTAGAAACACTGTCTTTTAAACATTAGTGTTTGAGATCATTTAAAGTTTACATTTTAAAGACTAGTGTAAATGTGCCTGAAAATAAACAGTTTTAGGGTCATTTGAGAAGGATTACAGTATATCTCATGTAGATAGTTCTTCAAACTGTGTGGCTTCTTTTAAAATAACCAGCAATGAATGTGATATAATAGGTGCAGGTCTATTTTTTAAACACACCCCCACACATCTCCCCCCCACGCATCTTGTAGCTTGAATCTCGAAGTCTTTGAAACCTCCTTTTTTTGAACTCAAGTGGATAAGACTGATTTTACTCTTTATTCTTAATTCCTACAAATCCCATGAAAAGACCATGAAGTACTTCCCTCCCTTGTCTATGACACTCTGCCCCAAGCTCCATTTGTGCCTACTGAAGATTGAAATCTTTAAAAACAGGTCAGAGATATATAGGTTGATTTTTAATCAGGCAAAATAATTTTCTGAAAATGCTGGGCACATTAAACAAACAGGAGTAACTAAAGTGTGGGTCACCTAGTGCAACAGTGTGGCTTATTTAGGTATTTTTGGACAACAGTGAAGCTCTCTGGCACAGAGGAATAAGTTAAGCTTTGACTACACAGTCATTACTTTGTTGTTAGTTTTGGTCTTTTCATATGATTTGTGGACGATGAAAATGCAGATATAGAACATCACCAGCTTTATGCTTTAAACGGCAGTAAAATAGTTCCGCTATTAACCACCCAGCACTCACTCATTTATCACATGCATTGATTTTTGATTTTCTCATGCAGTTATGTTTCATTCAACCACCGCACCAACATCTGTTTGTGATTTCAGGTTTCTTTGGTTGCCATTAATGTTCTGGGAGATTCTTTGGATGGGAATGCTTTTAACACAATTGTAAGTGAGCACTCTCCTTCACCTGTCACCCATCACTGAACTTACATCTGCACAGCAGTAGATGGCGATGTTGTGCTGTGATTTTGTGAGACATTGCTCTGTCATCAGTCACTTAGAATAGGGCTGATTGACGTTTCCTCATCCATCCACTGATGTTGCACTGTGACAGTGAACTTTTGGCAGGTCAAAGTCTTCCTGACATATCTTATATCATATACAGTTTACATATATATATATATATATATATTTGTATTACCTGTCCATATGAGGACACACAAATAATACCTACATGATATAATGCAAATTGAGTACAGTGGCCCTGAATAATGTGAAGCTTAAAATGAGCTGAGACTATGTCAGAGAGTTGTTGATTTAACTTATTTGTACCCTTTGAGGCAGTATTTGATGGCGTTGTTGTATTAGAAAATGACATGGAGAGGATATACTGGCTTATATAGCTATATTAAGTAATAGATACATTGCATACATGTTATATACAGTATTTATACAAAGTCACTGATCCAAAGATACTGTATAAGCATGTCTATATGCACACGTGTTAACCCGAATAGTGTGTGTGTGTGTGTGTGTAGGTTTGTGTATATGTGTCAGGAATGTAGTAATGAGACACAAAGGGGGGACAGTATGTAATCACACAGGAGGCCTTTAGTTTGCCAGTGTAATCAGATAGTCCTGCAGATGGACAGGTCCTGGAAGAGAGAGAGCACCTTAAAACACACACACACAGACACAGAGACATGGAAAGACACGGACACACACTCGCACAGATTCCAATGAACAGGCTGTGCATTGTTGCTCCACTAATCCGACTCTGAGCACCTCCACTGCAGCGGTGATCTTGCTTGGAGGGTCGGTTGGATCTTGTTCTCTTATATGTGTTCCGTGTGTGGAAGTTGTGTTTGTCCTGTGGAGGGAGACTGTGGTGTGGATACAGTGAGAAGGCTTATTTAAGTGTCAGTTCTTACAAATTGTGTTGGGTTTTTTACATTTTTTTGGAGGCTTTTATTGCCTTAAATCAATAGTGACAGCTGAAGAGTGACAGGAAAGGGGGGAGAGAGAGGGGAGGACACGCAGCAAAGGGTCACAGGTCCAAACCCATGGCTGCTGCAGCAAGGAGTCTTGGTAAATGGGGCGCCAGCTCTACCAGGTGAGCTATCATGGTGTCCCGGGTCATTCAAATTGTGAAGAAAAAACACATCTTCTCGGGAACTTTTAGGGCTATCTAGCCATGCAGGTTTTGAGAGATCTGTCTTTGAGATGTCTCCGGACTTTACACAATGCTGAGAAAACACAAGCTTTTCTTGAGCTTACTCTAACTGTTTATTTATTTTTGTGGTATTCACATTTTACTACCATGAATAGCAGTGAAAAAGGCATTAATAAGAGCAGACATTTTGACTTTTTGTAATAGGAACAGCACAGGTGTAAAAACGCTCTGTGTGTCCCAGTAAGTCATGACGGCCTGACAGTGAGACAGCATGCACAATAGCAGGATCTTGAAACTGAAGCAGTTACATCATTCATTTTATTATTTACATCTTTGCTTTTCATACTGTGACATGTCAAAATGTGTTCCTGCTCTCCCACTCTCATTAAGCAAGTCATTTATGATCCCTTGAATTGAAAGGATAATCCTCAGACGTGTTTTTGTTATTATTTACACGTTTATTTTCAGGTTTTATTATAGTTTGTTGAGCTCCACTGTTTTTTTTGCTTTCCTTGTTCACAGACACAGAGACTTTCACTGGGTTTCTAGCAGTCTCTTTCATGGAGATGCCCTGTCCTTCTGAATAATTTACAGAACACACTGTCACCTTTTTTCTTTGGGAGTATTCCTTTGTTTTGAAATAGTAGCAGTTAACTGTTCAACACCTGAGGATTTTTCCAGAGCAACAAGGTACACTGTTTCTGGAAACACATGTTGCGATTGAGAATTTAAACCTAATTTTTCAATTCTCTTTCATTAGAGCTGCACCATTTAGTCAGTTGGCCAATTAACCAATTAGTTGTCAACTATTTAATTAATCATCAACCATTTTGACAATTGATTAATCTTAGTGAGTCATTTTTTAAGAGAAAATGCCTGCATTCTCTGGTTTTAGCCTCTCCAGTGTGAATATATTACTTGTTTCTTTAGTTCTATATGACAGTAAACTGAATATTTTTGGGTTACGGACAAAACACGACATTTGAGTACCTCAATTGGGCCTAGAGAAACAGCGGTCATGATTTTTCACCATTTTCGGACAATTTATGGACACAAACCACTAATCGACTAATCCAGAAAATGATCAACAGATTAACTGATACTGAAAACAATCTATTACCTGTGCCAACTAAATTCCATCAGTTGTATTGTATTGGCGTGGTGGCAGAAATCTCAGAGACAGAGACAAGACATTTAAAACCAATACTATCTGAATTTCTGTCTGTCAGTGACAAATAAAGATGGTGTAACACTTTCAAATAGGTTTGTAACATATCAATCCATCAAAACACATTTGGCCTATAATTTAGCTTCTCATTTCAGGGAGAATAACTACATGCTGTATAATAATAATCAAAGTGTACAATATTGTCCTTGTTCCTACTTATTGCTGGCTAACAGGAAGTTTGTCCTTCTTCATATTGAATGCTGTTGCTCATAAAGTTCTGCATTAATGATGTCATCAACAGACAGTTTCCTGTTCTTGTAATGATTGGCCACTGTTTCACATTTCAGGTGAGAGCAGTGGTCTACATATTTGGCTTTACCTTGGAGGTGTTGATTAACGATTGGGTTTGGGGTGTGTGTACAATTGTGAGGGCCAGGGAGTTTTGGTGAAGTCATTCTGGCAGTGTTTTGGTCAGTTTTAAGGTGAGGGTTGAAGTTGAGGATCACCTTAAAGCTAATGGGATTAGAAGACAATGGTCAGGTCTTCCTGAACACAGTAATACAAGAGTATATATGCACGTGTGCGTAATTTGTCCATCTGTTTCCCCCCAGCCAAGCAGAGAGCAGCTGATCGAACACTACCTCAACAGTACCCAGCTGGAAGCTGCCTTGGACACGACCTTCATGGGGTGAGGCTAGGCCATTGAACCCTGGTTTCTTTGTCTTGTGACAATAACATTGTTCAACAAAGCCATTTCGTCTGGAAGCCAACCAATAAGGCATTCAAGGTCACTCGCATTTGAAGATAATGCAGGTGGCCGCCCATGAAAAGTGGAAAACACATTTCGAAATTGTTTTTTTCTTTTAATATATCAACCCCCAAGAGACGTTTCACTTCAGGGTCTCACTCCTTGGGGGGGTCAGTCAGTGTTTTTCCCCTTTCATCAGGAATTGCACAATATTGAGCCCATTTAACGGATGATGACACATTTTAAACTGGCATTATCTCTAATGAATTCAGGCACTAAATCAGCAGTTGTGTTTTCCATATGTTTTACAAGTGTAACAAGCTCAGACCTCACAGAACAAGTGTTGTTGTGTGTTTTAATGTTTCTCTTTATTTCATGTTTCAAATGTTTCTTTGTGTGCATCCTTTGTCTTGCACCCAGAAAATGCGAATCCATCTCCCCCTTGGACGACCTGGCCTTCGACATGTACCAGGACCCCGAAGTTGCACACATCATCCGTCTCTTGGACCAAAAGAAGCAGGAAATGGTCCGGCAGGAGAAATACGAGCAGGCCAAGAATCTGAAGCAGGCCATCGCAGACCTGCAAAAGGTACTGTGGTTGCTGGGAAACAGACTGTGTGGCTTCAATACACTGACACCAAATATTTGCTCACGTTTGAGCAGTATGCACCACAAATACCAGGATGTGTTCTCTCTGCAGTGAGCGCATTTAAGAGTCTTAATGAATCACAGTCTGAAAAAAAATATCCAACAAAAGATTTAAAAGTGCTCAAATAAAACAAATGTGTTTTAATTAGTGAGCTTTAGAGGTGTTGGTAGATGTATTTTTAGGTGTATTGTGATCAATTGGACAGAGCCAGGCTAGATGTTTCCCCCGTTCTTCCAGTCATTATGCTCCCTTGAGCTGGCCAGCTCTACCCGCTGTAGTTCTACCTGAAAAATTTTGTTTTGCAAATTTGGCACTGTTTATTCACACTTAATATTTTCCTACACTGCTGGATTATAAAGTGTTCGTTTTGCATGAAAAGAAAGGGACGAGCTGCCGCTGAATAGTGGTTCCAGTTATATTACCATAATCTGAGGTTGGACTGCAGCATTTAGCCACGACAGTTACAGTGTTAACGGGGTTTGGAGAATGCGTCTTTGTTTCAGTACAAATGCGAAGTACGCCAACACCCAGACACACTAGCACACCAATGCTAAATATCCCTGGGTACTGGAAGAATTTACAGTTCTACAGTAGAATAGATTAAGTAGAGTAGATTTTGGTAAAAATTCCCAGGAAAATACTGGGATCTCTATTCCCAGATTTCAACCTCATTCTGGACCAGTGGTGGAATGTAACAGAGTACATTTACTCAAATACTCTTACAATTTCTACTTACTTTCTACTCCACTACATTTTAAAAGATTTTCCTTTTTACTTCACTACATTTTTCAGTCACAGTTACTTTGTAGATTAAGATACATTAAGATTTACAGCTGTTTACTCGACCAGCTACAACATTAAAATGCTTCTCTTACACATGAATATATCAATAATAATAATCCAATATAATATAATAATATAGATGTAATATAAATGCAAACATTGAAGAGGACCATTCTACATAATGAGAACTTCTGATGAATTAAGGACATATAGCTGAGACTACTTCTGTACTTACTTTCTTTCTTACTTACCTTTACTTGTAGTGGAATAGTTTTTACACTGTGGTATTGTGACTTTTACAGGGTTCCCACGCGCCCTGGAAAACCTGGGAAATTTAGAGACTAGTTTTCCAGTCATGGAAATACTTGAAAATTAAATAAAATGACCAAATATCCTTGTCCTGGAAAATTTGAATTTTATTTTATCCCCTCTTTCAGATGGTCTGTGTAAGCCTGGGAGTGTATCCTGTTGGTAGGACACTTCAAAGCGGGTTCACATGCATGAAGTGGAACGAACCTGTGGTGATCTTTTTAGCATAGAGTAGTCAATGTTACGGTTAAAACTGTAGTAATCTGTAGTCAATTCACAAGAGACTGCAGCTCAGCTCCACTGAGACTGCAGCAGAAAAATCAGCTGTGGTGAGAACTGTCAAGTGTGCGACCAAAGCGAGCAGATGCGGAGTGTCCCATTAACGTTACCTGTAATGAACCTGAGACACTTCATCGTCAACCTGCATCATTTAACAAGGAGGAATAAAACTGCAGTTCAATGTAAATAGTAGACCTACACCTAAATTATTTGACTGTAAGTGAGTGCAGTCCTGTGTTGTCAAGAAAAAATCCTGGAAAATGATTTCTTAAGAAGAGTGGGTACCATGTTTTACTTAGGTGATGATCTGAAAACGTCTTCCACTACGGTTCTGGACTCCTTTCAGAAACTGTTGGCTGTTATATTCATACTTTACATAGTGTTTCTAAGAATAAGCCATACATTTAAGGGAAATAATTCAGGTCCAGCTATCACCATCCACCCACTGCCACTGTTACCAATATACATTTTTCTTTCTTGCAAATCTCAACTTTGTGCGGCTGTTTTTTTTTTTTTAACAGATATCCGTTGCAATTTCACCACTGTTTGTAACAGTAGTTGTTAAACATTGTTCAGATTCCTGTTACTGACCTCCTTTGTATACAGCGTTACCATGCTGACCATGAATTCTTAATAAGCTCAACAGCTGCGGTGATTGTCCTCCGGTAGTGTCTCTACCGCAAGCCTTTCTGTAACCAGATAACACACATACACACTAGCATCTTGTGAGCATGGCATATTAGCATTGTGAACAAAGCAGTTGCCAACGTAGCCATGCTGAAAATCCCTTGTCATCGCACCTTCAGGATGTCAGTGGGTGGTTTTTGATGTTACATGATATCAGAAAACGCATGACAGAGAAAGAATAGGACTGAAGACAGAGAATTGGCCTTCCGGCTTGGAGGAAGTGGAGGGGCTTATCGAGTAGAAATAACTAAATGCTGGAGATCCTAAATATGAATTGGAGAAACGGCTACCCTGTTTATAGCACCACTTGGTTTTGTTTAAAAGAGAGTAAAGAATCACAAGCCGTTGATGTTCACACTGTGTCGCTTGGCACCTGGTTAGCAACTTAATTCAGCTTAATGGAATTTCCTCACAAAGACATTACGTGTTTGACTTACTGGAAGTTGTTGTCAAATTTCCAGCCTGTAAATCTTAATGATTCACCATGTGGCACACTTACTGTTATGGGGCACCAGGGCTGTATTATTGGGCAGGGCAGAGTCAATCCCCAAACCAGCTCCAGTTAGGTTTTAAGGATAATTCTGGTTAATTACAACTTGGGTCTTATTTATGTAGTTTTTGGAAGTTTCTGTTGGTTATGATAACACTGTACTGTCACCACAGTAATTGCTGATATCTGGGAGCACAGTGAGGTCAGTGTAATGAGGTCCGAGGCGGCAAAAAAACACGAGCATACAAGCTGACAATTTAGCCACATTATCGGTCACTAAGTCACTTTATTTGGAGGTAAAACTGAAAGTGAGTGCACCTGGAATGTTGTTAATAATCTCTCATTACACAGGAAAACGGCACAACTGCATTTATGCACTTTAGTACTGAAGGTCAAAGTTGAACCAGTCAACCTATAAACTGTGGTGGATGTTTAGACCTCATAGATTGGGTAATAACTTGTTCACCTTTGTTTTCTCTCCCAAATAAGTTTGACTAACCAGGGGTTTTTTCTGGAACCTGTGTGATCGTCTGACTGCTCATGTTTCTTGCCACGGCCTCTTTAGTAATGTCACTGCATTCCCAGATCTCAGCAATTAAGTTGGAGAGTGCAATGTTATTAATACCAGTAAGCATGAAAATAAGTTATAATAATAACCTTCTAAGAATTGAATAATCTTCTAAGAAAACACCACACCAAGAACTAGACCAGAGTAGATGGATTGTATTTAAGACCAGGACCAAACAGTTTAAACAGTGTACAAATTCTATCTTTCTGAATAGTGATTTATGTTTCTACGTGCAGTAGATATAACAGCAGAAGCTCTTCTCTCACCTTCAAGATGAGTACAGATGGTGGACAATAATCGCTTACACTGTCAGCAGTGCTTGGTAGAAATAGTAAACATCTAATAGAGTTTTAATCAATGCACAAACCGACATGAATCCACACATCATGAGGCCATCCAGTGTAGGCTCACAGTGGGACTACAGGACTGTCTTTACCTCTGTTTTGTCGCGGGCTCTTTCAGGTTGGGGAGCGTTTGGCTCGATATGATGTAGAGAAGCGATGTGCCATTGAAAAAGAAGACTATGACTTGGCCAAGAAGAAGAAGGAGCTGATGGAGGAGTACAGGAGGAGCGTCTACCAGCAGCTGGAGGTCCACAACCTGCTCGACATGGAAATGGTCAGTCACCAACCACTGACGGCGATGCTTCACCTGTGTAGTAACAAAAAAAGAACAAAAAACATATATTCCTGTCCAAGGTGTTAGACAAGATGAGCCTAAACTTATGTCCTCTTACCATGTCACCAGATCACAAAGGCAGCAGATTCATCCCCAGCCCATGATCCTCCCTCACTTCAGCCCTCTCCAGGTGACCGTTCAGTCCCCACCAAGCCGCTTGTGTCCACAGACACGTTCATGAAGGAGAAAAAAACAAACGCTCCTCAGAACCAAGAGTCAGACGCAGGAACTGTTGCGCCAAAACCAAGCAGCCATACTGACACATCGTGCACCCCCGCTGCTGTACCCAATATAGACGTAAGTGCCACTTCACTATCAAACACCTGCAGACACTTTAACAATAACAGCTTGTCTAGTACTCATTTGTTGAAGTGCATGGATGGTCTGTGATCTAATTGTAGATAGCTGTACCTGTTGCTTGTTCTGCATTCATAAATTCCTGTATTGTTGTAAAATAATCTAGGCCACTGCAGCACCTTGGGAACACATCTACTGCCTTAAGCTTCTGTAGTGTTGGAACATAGGGAGATTATGACCAGCAGGGGCTTTTATGCTTTACTCACCACCTACTGAGACTAGCCCTACTGTAGGTTTGGGTTTCACTATTTAATTAAAAGCGTGCAACAGTTGGCTGACTCCTGCGGCTGCCAACCTGGCCTCAAGGCAGCGCTTTGAGCCTTGTACGAGGCAGCAGGGTGCCAGTTGGCACTTGGGCACAGGAGACAGTGCTGACTGGATGGAGCTTGCGTTTGTATAGATGGGGTTAAACTTTCATTGTCATCGCGATGTTGACTGATCGACCTGTTGAGTAATCAAATACTGGTGAAAGTTAGTGAAAAGAACAAGGCTAGAGGTGATCAATTTTTCAAAAGTGTGGACATCCCTTTCTGGCTTGAAAGTGTAGATCAGTTTTCTTTGAGCCTTTGAACTAAGGGATCGCTGGGAAATGTATTATATTGTGTGTTAAGAAATCTATATGCAGCACCTATAAATATAATTAAAAAAAACTGAAAGTTGGATAATGTTTGTAAATATTATATTCCGGAGTTCAAATACCAATGTTATTATCTTGTCCTGTCAGGTTACCAGTGTACCTTATGATGAGAGGCCGCTGCCAGCCCTCCAGAGGAAAGACGGGCCTGTGGAGGCTGTCCAGAGCCCTGCAGAGCAGCACTCGCCCCGACCTGATGCCCAAAGGACTCCACGCAGTCCAGAGATGAGCGGAGAGCCAGAGCCCCTGACAGAGAAGGCCCAGAGAGAGGCTGGTCTTCCAATAGAAGTCTACGGAGAAAGCCTGGTAAGAAAAAAAAATGCTGGAAAAACATAGCTAAGCTAAGTAAGGGTTTTACTGCATCTTGGGTTTTTATTTCTACATATGTACTTTTACTGGACTGCTTTTTGGTCTCCCCTCAGAATATTCTGTACTTTGTACTATCGCCCTGTTTTAGCTCCTCCAGATACATTTGCATCACCATATATGTCAGCAGATAAGTAATATAATACGGCAATACAGAAATGTTAAAGATATGTTTAAGGTAACTCTTCTAGTTTGTAACTTCCTCCTGTCTGCTGTGTGCTGTTGCTTTTGGTTGAGTTTTTTTTGCTGAAAACCGTTGCCTGCAGCTGCTGGAAAATAGGTCCCTGAGAGTGGAATTTGTGGGCTGGAAAATCAGTAAAAGTAATCTGCTAAATGGGGATAAAACACTCTCCCTAGAACTTATGGGAACTGCTGAGAGAGGACATTTTTCACATTATATATAATATTGGCAGATATATGATGTATATACATTACACAACATATTTGCAAACCTCCATCCACATCTGTTGTAATACCCACACAACTGGGATGTTTGTGCTAACCCAACCCCTAGCTAATTGTCCTCTCTTCTTTTCCAGGTAGCTGGGGCATATTCCAAAACCTGGTCCTACAGAGAAGACGCTCTCCTGGCTGTGTACAAGAAGCTTTTGGAGCTATCACCCACTACCCCCAGGGAGGAGCTGAAAAACACGATAAGAGCCGCAGTCTTCCTGGTCAAGAAGGCCCTCCTGGATAAAGTGTCATCTGTGAGTCATTTCCTCTAAATAAAATGATCCTGGTGTGGATGTCCAAGTTAACTGAACAGAAACTGCTGCCAGTAAAGCAGCCTCATTAAGGTGGATATGTTTACTTTGTCACTGTCAAAGTCTTCTTTAAATCATGTTCTCTGGATTCCAGTTGCAAACAGAAATAACGTTCATGTTAGTTCACACACTCACACATGTACACTCTTAACAATGTTCCCCCTGTACCAAATGCAACCCCAGTTCTCTCTCCCGTTCTGGCTTCCTTCAAAAAACAGTTTTGACAAGGATGGCCTTGTAACCCCTCTCTGGCAGTCATCTATGGCTTGTATGGTAATGAAAAGGGTAGTGGCTCAATAATTCTAGTGATTTATTTTCCTAGCTACATTGGTACACGGAATACTCCATTAAGATGGTTAGTGTGCTGCTCCACAAATGTCAGTTGTATTCATGTTAAGTACACCTTTCTCTGGGAACTCGGTGATCTAAGCATTACAGCCTGGGTCTGCCCTGGGAGTATGTGATATGTATTTCTGAAAAAAAAAAAAAAAAATCCACAAATATTGACAATGCACTGGTAATTAAATTGACCTGTAAAACAAAAGCAGGTTAGCGGGCATCTTTGCTTTTCGGTCTGATATGTCTGGTTGGCTTGCTAGCGAGTACAAAAAAACAAAAACACATTATAGCTACTGACTGCCACCCTCCATCTGCATACTCTAACCAACTCAAACTAAACACTGCCAAGTCTAGCCTCTCTGCTAATTGACATCACCCCAGTGTTAGCTTTTCTTGGAAAGTCCACTGAGTTTGGCACTAAATGTCCACTGGCTCCCTCCTTAGGTTTTCCACGCCTCCTTGAAGCTCCTGCGGCTACTGCTGAGCCAGCTGATCCCCGGACTGGGGCTGGGCCGTGCTGAGGTGACCCACTGCCTGGAGCAGACCTGGCCCAACCTTCTGGCCAGGACTGGAGAGTCAGCCAGCCGCCTCCGGGCCACAGCCACTGGCTTCATACAGGTACTGTAACACACTGGACTGACATGATTATCTGGTACCAGTGGCACCAGTTGATTTTCATCAACCATTTGCTTCCTGTCTGCCTGCCCTCTGCATCCTTAGCAGCTCTGCTTTGACTGAAGAGAAGAGGATTTTGCAATCTGCCTTAATCCCTCGACTGTCTTCCCTTGTGTAGAGCTCTGTGAAAGCTTTTGTCTGTCATGAAATTCTTTCTCTCCTCCTTTTTTACTCCACAAAACAACACCTTATTGTGCAAGACAGCAGATTCCTTATTGAAAACAGTGTCAAAATGCTATGTTAAATTTACTGATGATGTTTTTGTTGTGCGAGGTGATTATCTCTCTTGTTTTTATATGTCTAATTTGAAGTTATAGTCTTTTCTTGATATTACATTTCTACACATACCAACAGGGTAGAACTCCTTCTAAAATCTTTTGACAAACACAAACAAGTTTTAGTATCCTCCCTATCCCATGAGGCAACTCTCAAGGGTGGGACAGTGACAAAGACAGCATGACAGCAAGCCCAAACACATTACACATCAACTTAGCAGTAATAAAACTAAAAAGTGACCATAAAGAAAACATGTAAATACATACAATAGTTTTAAACAATAAGAATTTATAATATTAGATTTAGAGGAGTGAGAGTATAGTACACTGGCTTGTCCTTCTCTGGGAGTGCCACTCACTATTCATGTGTAAAAAGATTAAACATAACAAAACAACCACTACAGTGTGCTCACAGAGTAGTCATACACAGAAGATGAACAATGATCCAGTTTTTCCTACCTCACTAATCCATATGCCATAGAAAGCCCCAGCAAAAGCTTTTAGCATGCTTCTGCTCCAGAAATTCCAAAAATAATGTTAATAATGTCAATACTACTGGATTTCTGATTTTCTTTAGTACAGAGTAAACACTCCTGCTCCTGCGGCAGTGCTACCCAACATTGGCTGCGTCACAGAACCATTGTCTGAAACATTTAGATTTCTGTATAAAAGACTCTTTGTTGTAGTGAAAATACTGCAGATTCAGGAAATATTCTAATATAAAATTGGTGTTCAAAATACACTCATGTGCTTTTTGAGACCTACTGACTGATTACTTCACAACTAATTCCTTATGAAGTTTTCCAAGTAAACTTTATTACATTTTTGTTTACAATTTCATCAAAAGTGAAGGTTTTGTCTTGGGAGCTCCTCTACTTGTTCTTATGCCAGTTTGTTTATGGCCCTTGGGCAGGAGAGATTAATTCATAATGGCAAAATAATTTGTGTAATTCATCATCTTTGACAAACTGTTTCACTTTTACTGAAGAAAACAGTAACTTCACTGTTTAACTGTGTATCCTCTGTGGCTTTGGAGGAGCTTTTCTAAGTTATTTCATCTTTCAGAGTGAAACACTGTGTCTTATTCTTGATATATATCGAGGGCCAGAGATTTACCATCACTGAATTTCAGGTGATTTTGAATGTGTGATATACCTTTGGCTTCCTGTTCCCTTCAAAGAGTGCTGTTTACTAAAGATTTTATTGTATACTGAGGCTGAATTCCTGATGTAAGCAATTGCACAAATAATCTTGATGTTACAAGTTTGAGCAAACTTCCTTACTGGCAGTACTGTAATATTGAAAAGTGCTATGACTAATATTGAAAGAGGATATGTACACATAAAACTCACTGAATTCCTCGGCAACCACAGTATTTACATGCAGGCGAAACAGATTATTTCGACATGCATTTATACTCGTCTGCGTTTCTTTTGTGAATTTGAACATAGATAAAGGCTGGAAAACCTATGAAGATATTTACATATGCTTTCAATACAATGATGGGAAAATTGCCCTAACAATTAAACAGATTGGTGTCAGTGAAGTACCAGCGTCATAGCTATGAATTGTATTCACAGTATATACATGCACATACAACACATTACAGTCAGTGACTATCAATAAGTCAACCTGCAGGACAAACTGATTTGTATGCTTAACTGGGTTTGTACGTGCATGTAAACACAGATAATGGCTGCGGTTAAATAAAGGCACGTTTTGTTCCTTCCAGATCAAATCACTCTGATGACCAGCACCCACGAGTCTGCATTCAAACAATGACTAGAAAAGCACCTTATTTACACACCCCACACTAAGCAAAGAGAAAAGTGTACACAATTCAGTCGAACTTTCCTCCAAATGTCATTTCTGGAAAAGATTACCTGTGTATGCTTTGTACTTTTATTAGGCTAGCCTATAGACACCATATGTGCAAAGGGAGGTTTTTACAGTGAGATAAGCACTTTCTTTGTCATTCTCTAACAAAATGCATCAGACTTAAAGGCTTCCTCCTTCAAGCTGTGAGATTAAGTACTTCATCC